CCTCAGCCGCAGCGCAGCGCCGCGCCGCACGGTCTTCCTCTGCAGCGATAGCCTGAAGGCTTGCAAGAACTGAGCCTACGAACACTTCAGTAAAATAGGGCCTCAGCAGTTCCAGGCTACCGTCAGCTGTTTTCATCTGTTTGTTTGCTCTCGTATCAAGGTTTCCTTGCCTCTTGGATGCCTCGATGCGGCAGTCGCAGCAGCTCTGCACCCCGCATGCCAACAGCTGTTCGCAGGGGCCTGAACAACGCACATACAAAAAGCTTCCCTGACTCTCTTTGGGCTGCTGTACATCGCCTGTCGACGGGAATGTCAGCACCACACCGCAACTCCTGCTCCTGCGCAGCTTTGTTGCGACTGCTCCCCGTGCGGTTCACATGATAGAGCGCTGCACTAGGCCTGGCCAGGGGCAGCTCCGAGTAGCTGCAGCGAGCCATGAAGCACGAGACCTACACCGGTGCGCGGAACACATTTAACAGACGTCCAGAATCCGAAGGCAGCAGGCATGTGGTGCCAGTGCATTAACGGCATCAGCTGGCCACGACGCAAACATGCAGGGCCTGCGGTGTCTGGACCTTCGACGAAATTTCTAAATTAAGTGTTGATAGTGTTCATGTTCACCGCTGCACTGGGCTTTGAGCAGGAGTCGCCGGCGGCACGATCCGGCCTCACAAAGAGGGCAGAATACTCGTGACTGACTCCGAACTTACTGCTACTCCACTTCTACCATTCACTCTTTGTTCCGACACAGAGTTGAGACCGACGCGATGCCAGCAGCTGACCCGCTGCCTTCCGATCGATGCGCAGAGAGGACCTGAAGCAAATCACTTTGCAAGCACAGGAGTACAAACTGCAGCAATCATCCACGAGAACTGCCCCACCCTGCTGAGAAATGTCTGCATTTTTTTCCCTCATCCAGATCGACAAAGAACAGCTGGGACAAATGGGAAGGATCGCAATCAAGACTTGGCTGGGGTGCTGGAAGCTCAGCGTGTGAGGCAGAATACTGGGTCGGTAGAAGTGCTGGAAGGCCATTGGGGTCTAGGTCAGCGCAGCCAATATCCCCATTTTGCATGACTTGGCAGCAGCTGACTAAGCAACACTGAGCAATCTGAGCATCTGGACAAGGCATCTATCTTCGCCCTGGGCGCCAAAGGTGACAAAGCCTGCATTACGCGATGACGACGCACATAGCAACTCTGAAAAATTCTGCACCGGCCTTTCTAAACCCTGCAGAACGAAGGAGCAGAGCGAGCAGCCTCCAATCCTGACACGTTTACCAAAGCAAAGTTGCGACGACTCCAAAGGCTACAGTCGGCAAAGAGCTGTGCTTAGCTGCCAAGGCTCATCCTCGCTTGCGTTTCCATCCTCCCGCAACATCAGTTGCAGTCATAGTGTCAACGCACGCTATCAGATCTAGAGCCTGCCGTGTCCCGCAAACCTAAGAGTCATCTCTAGCACAAGCCTTCCTTCTGCATTGTGGCAAAAGATGAACAGAAAACTGCTTTCCCTGCAGTCGACGAAACGAGCCCTTGTCGGAAGCCACCGTGCTTTGAACAAGACGCGAGCGGAGAGAAGAGTCGGAAGTATAGTGAAGTAACCCTAAACCCTGATCCCTGTTTCCTAAACCTAAACCCCAAACTCTAAATCCTAAGCCCTAAACCCTAAACCTTGAACCCTACACCCTCACAAGTGCGGATGGTCAACACAGATGGAGCTTCATTGGTATCGCTTGAGATGTTTCATAAGGACTAGGCATCTGTCGGCATCCATGCTGTGCCACCAGTGGATCCGGTGTGGATCCGGTAAAACAAAATCCATGCACCCCAGAGTCTGTGAGCCAACAAACCTCGTGAACTCGTGACAGTTTGTGCTTAGCCTATGCTGCCTTGGGCCAACATCTCCGCATCTTGCTCCCATGCCCCTCTGGAAGCCAAGAGCTGTCTTCGAGGAAGATGCATGTCAGTTAAGTACCACAGCATGCCCGTAGATGAGTGACTCGGGAGCGCGGGAGTGTGAGCAGAATATGAGTTGGGTGAGTCGGGTTAGTTCGGCACTGCGAGGCGCCTGCGTGGTGGCCAGATGGGCCAGCCACCGTACCTGCACCATGAGGGGCACGGCCTCTGAAAACAGCACAGTTGCTTTGCCGAGTCTTCAGCCTCTGTCAGCAGCTCAGGCGAAATCAAGGCAACTTCCGCCTGGAGGAAAAGAATTTCCAGATGCTCTCAACGTTTCCAGCGGCAAAACAAGTTCTGTCTGATTCGCCTGAGAAACTGCACTCGATGCAGCGTCAACTGCGCCTCAATGTGGACGCACTTGCTAAAGCATTTCAATGGAAGACCGTGCGAATACTGGACATGCTCCAGATGTTCAGACAAGCCAGCACAAACAGGCAGATATCTTGACATGCGTTGCACGTACCTTCTTTAACCTGCAACTTCTGAGCACCTTGCATGACAGAGTCAGATCCTCAGCTCAGTGTGCGCATCGATTCTTTGCATGAGTATGGTGTCATGTCGATCTCCCAGACCAGGTCAGGGGTCCAGGATTTACGCTGCTTCACGGTTTTGACGGGTTTAGGGAACCCTGAATCAGGCGGCATAGCCCAAGAAAAGGTGCGGCTGCACGGCCATACCATAGGGAGGAGATTGATATTGTTGCTAGGAGCCAGCTGCTCAGCGCGCATGACCCGCAGCACTTCTGCATTTGGTTTGACATGATGCGAGGGAAAAGGTCCATGACAGAAAGCGACCACTCATCATCTAGGAACTTGGGTAGCTCAAACCAGGTTGGGCACCGTCTTGCATTCAAGACACTTGACCTGCATGGTCCTCGGGCGGTGACCACGATTTGGGTATCCGCCCTCCACTCGGAAGAGAAGCAGACCTTGCATCTCACCAAACACGCAACAGACCGAAACAGTGGAGATCGTGATGACTCCGGAGTTCAGTAAGTGTGAGACCCCTCAAGGCCCTGTCGTGGCTACAACACCCCCTTTACTCGAAGTGCTCTGCTACTGTTGATCTACCAAGTACACTCACCTGCAGAGTCTTCTGCACTCTGCCCTGGATTTGACCCTGCCCGGCCCCGAGACCCACGTGTTTCAACACCTTTGTCGTCGCATTGAACTGCTCCTTCGCTTCTTCTCCAGAACGGTGCGGGTTCCGTTTCTGTTTGCACCCTGTGAAAACAACGGTTGTTGGAGTTTTCTCTCCCGCTCTCTATTTAGGTGTGGGGCCAATGTTTTCGCTTCAGGGGTTCTCACGCCATCAGCAGGAGAAGCTGTCGAAGGTCGACTGCAGGGGCGTGCTAGTATCTGCACCAGTGCCACCAAACATGACCAGCTGTGTGAAAAGCGCGTTTGTTGGCTGAGCCTGGCACGTCATCCCGTAGAGTCACGTGGCTGACCTGATCGTTCTACTGAACGCTTCGAGAGACGCAGGTAGCACCATGCTGCAGAGCGGCTGCTGCACCTGATCCCGACGCTGTCGGACTGGCCATGGCAGCCGTTGGTAGCGTTCGTTCTGTGTCGACGAAACTGGCAGTCTTCAAGAAATCTGATGCGTGTCAACGCCTCAGGGCCTCGATACATCTTGGCAGATGTTGGTGTCTACTTTCAGCGCGCTATTCACGCTGATTGAGCTGAAGCCAGGCACGGATCAGGCTTTGCAGACTCTGCGACCTACGACACACAAGGTCAGCAAAATCCGGCACTGAGGTCGCACCAATGCCTCCGGTCCTTGGAAAGACAGCATTTCAGAGCAAGATCAAGTGAGCTTCTGAGGTTAGGCGTGCATCAACTACACTTGAAAGACACATGAAACACCCTTGCTGCCATTTCGCGGTGGTTTTTGAGATTTCCCCCTTAGGAAAGCCCTCTCAGTGCATCACTTCGTCGAGGCCTCGGCACTACCCTCAAGCGCTGCTCAGTCGTGCTGGCAAAGATGTCTCGACGGTGGGAAAGTGGCAATCGCAGTCGTCTGAGGAAGTGGCATGAGCCGCGACAATCTAGGGGGAGGAGCCTGCCTGGTCAGTCAACTAGGGGCCTCACATTCATCAGGGTGTCATTGGCACTCTCGAAAGCCCAAAAAACGAGCCTGAGAACATCACAGTACCCATCCTCAGGAAGCAGGACTGCAATGCTTAGCATGCTGCATAACAGCAGCAGGAGGCGAGCCAAGGGCACGGTCTGGATACGCGTGGCATCAAAGAAGTACTACTGACAACTGCCTTGACACCTGTCTGAGTACCAGACAGGGCTGAAGAACTCATGCTGTTCCAATTCAAAGACTCCCTGGCACGTGCTCCGTGTTACGAATTCCTACGTGCGCTTCAGCCTGCCCACCGCAGCCATCGAAACGATTTGTCCAAGAACTCATTTAAACTTGATAGAAACCGATAAAATGATGGAAGCCTGGGGCAGACCAATGAAAGAGCCCTTGCCTCCTGACTCGCACCGAGGCGCTGTTCGGGTGAGAGCTGCAGCAAGCCCTGGCAGCGCTGACGATTGGGGTGGTTCCTCTTGTTGTACTGCTACGTCCTCCTCACACCCAGACACTGCCCCTGCCTCAATAAGCTGCCGCGCCTTCGAATTCAAGAGTTCCGGCTAGCGCAGCAAGGACCCAAATTTTCCGGGGCGGAGGGGGGTTTGACATCTTTCTACAAGGCCTTCCAAGACAGTCAACACAGCCCGACGTTCAAATGCGGCCAAAGTGCAAGCAATTGTTTGTTGTGTCTCTTTTCCGTTGCCCGTGAATGTTTGGCATGTCTGGCCTGCTTCCAGACGTCCGGAGGGAACGTGTAGTCGACGTTTTGAACTCGTTGGAACACCAAGTACCTGAGCACTGTTCGAATTGAACATGACAGTGGCTTAAAAGTGCAGAATCTTGAATCTTAGGCTGCCACTCAGACTCTGCGTGGAACGGCGTCTTTCCAGCAAGCATCTTAGCGCAGGGGCACAAAATCACCTCTGCTAGTGTGGTATACGTGCTCGGGTGCCGATGTTGTGGCACTGGCCCCGTTTGCTGCGTTTTTGTTCGAAAGCCGTTGGTTTGAATCATGCACTCCCCGTGCATTGGGCCGCACGCCAAGTAGACGATGCATCCCAAAGCCCAGAGATCCAAGGCGAAGGCCTGGACATCAAGGCCCTCGTAGCCTCCCACCCTTTCAACAAAGGAAACCTTCGCCCTTCGCCTGCTGCGGCTCGGCGGTTCCGAGGAGAACCTCCGGGGCAACGTACCTTGTGCTATGCTGGACAGATGCGACTCATTGCGATTCCAAATTGGCAGTCCACAACATCAGAGCCTCAGGCAATGCAGTTCCCACAAAGCTTTCGACCGGAGGGAACTCTCCTAGCATCGGCAATCGTAAAGACCATGGCATACTTCCATGTTGGCCCAGGCTTCCTCCGTGAGCTTGTCCTGCTGCAGCCTCGCACTGTCCGAGAGTGAACTCGCCATGTACGCATGCAAAATCAACACTGTGGGTCAGTCGCATTCTTCCGGTTCGCACTCGCAAGGTCGGAGAAGTACAGCCTAAAGGACTGCTCTAACTCATCCAACTCCTGGCCTCGCAAGGCACGCACATGGCTGCATCGAAATCCACCAGCTTGAGGTGACCTCAGAATGACAGGCGAAGACTCTTGCTGTGGGGGATCTTTGCTGTCGCGCCGCTGACACAAGGGCAGAAGTGTCGTACAAACACACACACACACACACACACACACACACACACACACACACACACTTGTTGAAACCACGAGGGTTTATCATTGGTGGATCTCTGGTATAGCAGCGGACTCAAACATCAAGCCGGAGCGAAACAGACTCGACCCCCGCCTTAGTAGCAGCGGAACGGCCATCATCGAGACATAAACAAATTTGCCCCATCGAACGCCGCAATGGCACTTGCGTACAGACCGGTCAGATCCTCAGTTCGCACAAAGGTCCGCGCTTCAAAACTGCTACTGGAGTTTCGTCGGAGGTTCACTGCCAGGTTTTCTAAAAGTCATACTCTTCAGATGCCAGCTCTCAAACTTCGACAGGAACACTCCGGGCTGGCATGACTCCAGATTCGCTTTTCCACACGCGTGCTTTCACCATTGCAGTCAAAATTTGGATACTGCCCTTCGATACAGGGTTACACACACACCAAAAAAAACAAAGAAAAAACAAATGACGAAACCAAAGGAGAACAAGCAACACATTGTGTGGCGATGCTGTGTGGCGACAGGTGTGGCCAGAGGCGCATGCCGTCGAAGGTCAGCAACAAGTTCTCCGGCTTGAGATCGCGATGTGCCACCCGATGCTGGCGAAGGTACCTCTGCTTCAATTGGTGCATCTTGCAAGTCTACTATCGTCCAGTGCCCCCCGAAGGCTTCAGAAGGGCACCCCAGTATGTCGATGATCCCTGCCGTGTAGAAGCGCGTGAACTCCCAGGAGCAGGTGCCTCAGCCCGGGGAGCTTAGATGAGCCTCCAAGTTCAGGCGGGCAACCACAACAAGGTATAACAAAGAGGGAGGGCTGCGCTGGCGGCAGGGCTTTCAGAGCTTTAGGGAATTTAGCTGAAGCACCTGGCTGACTCCAAAGTCACATCGGAGATGCACGGACTTCTGCAGCTGTCGTGTTGAAATCTCGGGCAATGGGGTTCCGTTTGGATTCCCGAACCAACTAGTTGACACTAGTTGTCGTGCATTTGCATTCTCCTGCAAGCGCTCGCAGAGTGTCACGCAGAAGACGCTTTCCTCGTGACTTTCGTCGCCGTCGTTTGTGCCAGTGCTTCATATCATATGGAGATCCTCGTGTCGTCGCTTCGGACCCGGGATACGAGTACCGTGGGATCATGCTGATGCTGGCTGGCGGCTGCTAGCTTTTGACGCGCAGCAATTGTAGTGCTGCCAGTGGATTCCTAGTTCCGGAGAAGCATTTCCCCAGCTGAGTCCATCACCCATGCGCTCGATTTGTGTGGCTAGGTCGCCACCAAGGACCTCGTGCTCTCTCTTGTTTGTTCAGGCTCTGCCTCGGCATTGGCTGGCCGGGGCCCGGACGAGCTCCAGCCCGAAGTACAAGGACCAGGCGTCCTGCTGGGCAGGCTCATGCAGGCTCAGAAATCGTGACAAGCAAACATTGGCACAAAAAATCCGCTGGAACAAAGACCACACAGGATGCAGGATGCGGGATGCGGCACGTGGGTGAGAGCCCTCTGTGAAACACCTTCCGACTTTGCCCTATCCACTCCAACCCCGAACGCAAAATGCTCGCCTGGAAGGCGAAGTGCAAGCGCACCTTTGTGCAACGAATGTGCCATGCTGTGCTATGTTGTCCTGTGCTGGGCTGCGCTATATGCACACTTGGCTGGACTTTACTTCCTGCCCACAGCGCTGGCGGCGAGCTGCTAAGAGCACATCTGTACCCGTATGTAGGCCCGTGGCGATCCCTGGATGGTCCATTTGCAGGAGCATGAGGCGTTCGGTGATCACCCGATTCGCACGCTTTTGAACCTCTTTCTGGGAGAGATGAGCGAGGATGAGCCCGGCTGCCAAAAAAAAGTCTGGGAACCAATGGCGACCCGCAGGAGCTGCCTGGATCATTCGCTTCTCCACAATCTTCATCGCGTACTCGCCTAGGAGATGCAACGTCAAACTGATAATCACAGGAAGCCTAAGCAAAACTGATGGAAGCCTACGTCCCAAACCAACTGAGGCTAGATTGCGATTGTGCTGCACAGCAAATCCAAGCAGTTGATACAAAGTCGTGTGCAAAGACTGGCAAAGATCGATTGCATTGTGTATTTGTCAGGTGTTTATGTGAAAGCTCGCACTGCTCGCACAGCATAGTCTTCCGAGGATAGAGTAGCACACCGCCTAGCCAACCCTGAATGACAGGACTTGCATCACAACATGACACTGCTCAGTTGGAGACGTCCGTCATGCCGGTCGCGAGCCCGAAGAACTCGAGCAAAGGCACCCTGCGCAAGACAGCAGCATGGATCGGCAGACAGGGGATGGCAATAACGAGCATATTGGGCAGCTGGCAAACACTTGGTGTTTGTAAACGTGGTCCACGCGAATGGGTCTCGAAAGCCATTGGGCTAGCTTCAGCTGGATCCAACAGACTCTGACTCTTGTTGTGAACCTCTTTTTCGTCGAGTAGATTTGGACAAGCGATTGGTGTTTCATTTGCCTCGCCCAAGAGCGTTGTGAATTCGAAGTCCTGCGGCCACAGGGACACAGAATGAGGTACGAGATCTCTTCACGCACGATTGTCTTGTCAATCTTGTCTGGAGACAGTCAAAGATCCTCGCGACAAAGCCCAGTATGGGGCCCTCAGTGCAAATGTCTCGTTACAAAACCAAACCAAAACAGAGAAAGCTGCCGCACTTAGGACACTGCCTGGTTCGCCGGCCAGCCTGAGTGTCATGCTTCTGGCTCAATAGGGCGGATCTTCACCTCTGTGAAGCCGTGCTTGCATGCTGAGGTTAACGCGATTCCTTCGACTCTTCGAGAACAAACTCCTGTGGGAAACTGGCCGCTGTTGCGGTGTCGGACACTTTGTGAAGCTGCTCTCACATCTACTGCCTTAAGAAAACGGAAAGGATGCACCTCCATGCGAGCTGCAGTGGTTTGGGCAACAACGCTGCAATTCCAAATTCCTACAGCCCGTGTGTTACTTCTGACATGAACATGCTTTGTTTGCTTGTCCGCAGTCCTGACTGGAAAGAACGCTGATCATGAATGCGTTGGATACATGTTCCGCGGCTCAAGGTATCGCTTGACGTGGCAGCAGACATAAGGCAATGCCCAAGTTGCTCCCTCAGGCTCTGAAAACAGCTGATCTTACTGCACGTGGTCCTGCAGGCTTGGGCTGTTCAATTTTGCCCTTCACCCCGTCGCAGCTGCTCACTTCACTGTAACTGTTCAGACCCGCCGTTTGTGCAAGATTGGAGCGCCTGAAGCCACAAACAGATCATGGCGTAATGGCTAGACTCGCACAGTGGCACATTGAAAAAGAGTCACGACGAACCTCTACAGACATGCTTCCTGATGCCTGGAACTCTCAGGACAGATGCCAGTTTGCGCATGGAGCAGAACACCGAAACTGCCTTCGAAGATGCCACCACATCCAGAGCGGCGTAGTCATTGTTTTGGAACCTCACTATCTGTCCACATTACCTCTATGCGTCATCTCCGAACATGATTTTTTTTGGGTCACCTGCTGCAATCCCGGAAAGGTCGTGGCTTACTTGCTCGTTTTGGCCTCACTTGCATTCTGTTTCTTTGCCCGGATGTGTCGTTGTTGTCTGTCCAACAGGCTTGTCTCGAGTTGTTTTCTTGCTCTCAGGCATACATGTGTGTACTCTATGGTGATTTGAAAGGACGGACGAATGGATGCTGCTCCTCTCTCGCCACTGGCAACCAAGCGCATTCAGACAAGGCATAATCTGTGACATGAAAGTAAGCCCGACAAACAAGCAGAAAATAACAAAGAAACAAGAAACATTAAAAATGCACACCTTCATCACGTGGCAGTCACGTGACGGTCTCGGTTTGCCTTCCGCAGCTGAGACACGCCAATTGCCAAATGAAATGAGGGGCCAGCCGAGGCAACGAAAGATACCCCAAGTACACGGCACGCAGCCTCGGCACGCAGCCTCAGCCCTAACCCCTAACCCCCGACCTCGTAAAAGCCATAACCCCTAAACCTTCCATCCCTGACCCCCTAAACCCCTGAACCGGCAAAACCCCTCAAAACCCCCAAACCCAAAAACCCCACAACCCGGTTCAGCCCGAAACCCCTGAACCCCCAAGCCCCTCAATAGCCTGATCCCTAAATCCGCTTAACCCCTGAACCCCTGAACCACTGAACCACTGAACCACCCACGAACCCAAAACCCCTAAACCCTCAACCCTGAAACCCTGATCCCCTAAACCACTACACCCCTAATCCTCCTAAACACTAAACCCCTAATCCTCCTAAACCCCTAATACTCCTAAACCCTAACCCCTGACCCCCCAAAGCCCTAAAGCCCAACCCCAAACCCCAAAACCCTCCCCCACCACGGAAGCCCTAAACACATAAACCCTCAAACTTCCAAACCCCCCAAATCTCCTAAGCCTAAACCCCTAAACCCCTCTGAACCCCCAACCTCCCAAATCCAAACCCAGGAGTTGTCCTGGTTAGGGGAATTTTGCTTTCCTGCTGTTCTCCGTTGCTGTCCCAACCTTTGCCAAGAAGCAATGGGAGCCCGAGCTCCGCAGCAGCGCCAGAAACCGAGAGGCCCATTGGCAGTGAGGGGCCCGGTAGCGAGAGATCCGGCTCCAGGCCACCTCCGAATGCAACCAAAGGTGGACTGGAACATCGGTTTCATGTCGCAGATGCAGTCATCAAACCAGGTGATGAACACGACACCTATCAACACCCCATGAAGCTGGTGCAGCCAAAGAGTGGGCAACTGCTTGGACGAATGCGTCGTTTAGGTTCCTACGGAACGGTAATGACTGACACATGGCTTTCTCTAGGGGGCTGAGGGCGTGTCAGGCAGTGCAGTCGGGCGTCGAAGGCTGCTGTTGCAACCCTAAACCCTAAGCCCTGACTGACCGACACAGACCCTCCGGTCTTAAAGCAATCCCCGACACGGAATGGCAAAACAAAACCTTTAGGCTTTTGTGAAAGGGAATTCTCACCAGGATGGTTGCCTAGTGAGTAGAAGCTGGGAAGATTTCGTTGCCACTCCTGCCATGTCTGCGAAGGGATTTGACGCATCTGCCCAATGTCCAGCTTTGCTCATGTGGTCTAGGATCTCGGGTACATACGCTGCATGGTACCCCCACACAAGGAGTCTTCTTAGTTGGCCAGTGCGTCTTGTCGAGGTACCGCACAGGCAGCGCGCACACCGCCTGCTCTAAGTGGGAAGCCCTCGCGCCCCTTGTCAAAAAGCAATGATGTTGTCTAGTGGGGCTCGCTTTGGCACGCACTCGCGCTTGTAAAGACCCCATGCGTTCTTGACCATGATGCTGTGTCACGGAGCTGGAGGTTCTCTTACCAACCTTACACATCTAACCTGGCCGGTGGACTAAGTGCATTATATAGGCCGATCTCATGTGTACTCAAAACTCAACACTCGTGTACTGTGTCACGGACTAGCTTGGCGTCTTGATTGCTTTCAAGCTTGCTCTTTTTGCTGCATCCAGGCGTTTCTGCTCTCTCCTTGCACTTCTGCTTGCTTAGCTGCAGCGAGCGCTTCTCCAAGGTGCCCGCAGCGCTGTGCAGCCATTGTTTTACCTCTAAGTCGCCCTCTGAACCGAAAGCGCACTTGCCTGAAGCCCTGGGTCGAGAAGAGCAGAAACGAGATGACCATCGCACAAGAGGGCAGAACCTCGCCTTCAATTCTGGTCCCATCAGGGCCGCTGTAGCGTGCGACCGTCAGTGCCACGGCTTCCTGCAAAGCACGCTTGCTCTAGGGCCTCTAGGGTCTGGGGCCCGGGGGGGAGGGATGCCATGGGCGGGGAAACACCAGGAATAGCCGGGGTCGATACCATGGAGAATGCACAGCGTGCAACCATAGTTTGGGACGTGGCTCGGCTGTAGCGGGACAACGATCCAATGGCTCGGGTGGCAAGGTATGTTCAGGATGGCTGCACCCCTACATGATGCAAATCGAGGGGAAAGAACTGAACAGGACGGGTTCTTCACATGGTCAATCAGCGTTTTCATTGCATTGCGTGTCCGCTCCTTGTTGGGCAGGCCGAAAACGCCCTGAACAGCTGCCTAGCAATCCGCAACAAACTAGAAGCTCAAGTCAAAACGCGACTGCTCCTGCAGACACTCTGCTCTGTTGCAATCAGGCCTTACCGAAAGTTCTCGATCCGAGCAAGGGGGCGCGACAGTTTCCCCGCAAAGCCACAGCTAAAACCTCGGCAAAGCCAGCTGGGCATCACGTTCTCCACATGTAACTAATTACTGCAATTGCACTGGATCTGCCTCGCTGGCGCTTGCACTACCACCATCCACGAGTACCTGAGTGCAACAAAACTAATCCTGCAGCACATGTTCACATTTCAATAGTGTACAATCCTCGCGACTCTGGGGGGGTTTGGTTCTCCGAAAAAAAACTTCCCCAAACCGCCCATGAAGCCCTGCCCTCTGCAACTCCGGAGCCATCCCGAGCCTCCCAATTTTTTCCCGTTCAAACTCTTCCTCTCTTTTTGCTCTCAGAAATCTCAACAAGACTGCGTTCAATCGCATATGGAGGCGCTGCGAGCGGCTCCATTGATGCTTGTAAGGCACCTGCGGCAGATGAAGGCTAGCAATCGTGTCTGACCCATGTCAAAACATGCCGAGCCTTCACCTTCGCCCACTCGCAAGGGCTTGCTGTCTGAGGTCGGAAGCTGCACCTGGTGCACATGACTGAAGACCGAAGCACAATCAGCTTCATTGATAGCTGTTAGCTGCACTTCACCTGTGCCGCGACTGCTCCCGGCTTCAAGAATATCTCGGCAATCTCCAAGGCAGCTGGGAAGGAGCCACCTTCGCTATGAAAGGCTGTGGACATGTGCCCCTCAAAGGAAGTATTTCAATAGCTCCGTAGTTTCTTTCAAGCATTGTGCGGATTTGATTCGCAGATTCGCACTTGCCACCTGGGTTGCCACGTAAATCGATGACGAGCTCCTGCGCGCCTGCGCTCCGGACCTCCGTTTTCAGAGCTCAACGACGTTTCATCACAGGACCCTTGCAACGACACGGATCTCACAGCTTCTGAATCAGATGGTTTGAAATGCGGTGCATGCAACCAAGACCTCAACACACATCTGGAACTAACTCAACAGGCTTCAGCACCGGCTGCATTTGCCTGATCTGTGTCTTGCTCTTGCACAACTGACCATGTCCGACAATCCCTGTAGCTGAGATGCCTTTGCCAAAGCTGCCCGCAGGTCCACAGCACTCCTGGCTCCTACATTTCGAAGCCGGAAGTACCTTCGGCATGCTCTCTGAAGAAGATTGGTTTTGTGTGTTTGTTCCTGGCTGGGCGCACCCAATCTTGTGACCATTACTGGCCGTAACCACCCCAGATTCCACCTCGTTCAAAGGCTTGGCCTGTCGTGGCCTTGCAAGGCTCACCTGTCACGAACGCGTAAACTTTGTCAAGCGCAGTCTCTAAAGACATTGAGAACATTTGAATGCGTTGAAGCTGCGCTGCAGAAGACAAAGATCCATTTCTGCTACTTTGCTCCTCTTATGCCTTACGCCTTTACGGATACCGGAACTGGGTCATGGAATGCCATCGGATACCTCCCGAACCTCAGAACTGCCAGGCGGGTGGAGCTGCAGCTTCACCTGCATTATTAAACTGCACTGCACTGCCACAGCCAGTCATGAGACCGAGAATCACAAAGAGCGTGATAGGGGCATGTCCAGTCTGATCTCGTGCAATCAGGTCCTGGCTTCAGCTGCATCTCCCTGTGCGACACGGTCGCACACAGCCAGAAGCGACATCCTTCAGCATTCAAGAAGTCCATGGTGGGTCTATGCGGGTTGGCCATGTCCAACATGGTCTCTCTCGTCCAGTCTTGTCTTCACGCGCAGCCACAATCTGAATCTTCTGATGATGACATAACTGCACATGAGGCAGCACAGCGGCTCTTTGAAGCTCATGTCGTTGATTGAGTCCACGATGTCTCCCTGCTTGATACCGGCCTGACGACAGGTAACTTGCGTGTACGTGCATGTGTTGCACACTCCTGACAGCTTTGGCACACTACGCATGCGTCAGCGGCACCGGGCAAGGCAACGAAAAGTGAAAAGATGCGGGGCAGATGGTGCCTTGGCTGCAGATGATCCTCCAAATGGAGGGCTGCTCACAAAGACCTGGAGATATCCCGAAATGATGGACAATGCGAAAAACTTGCAGGAGAAGGGAGGACTGTGTCATACATACACACATGTTGCATCAAGGCGTTCCCATGCGATTCAGCTGGCCTGCTGGCCACAGCAACGTGTTGCAGGTTCCTAACCCATAAGCGCTGCCTGCTTGCTGTCGTTGCGTGCAAGCACAAGGCCCACCCCCAGCGGATCAAAGGCCATCAACTGCCTAAGCAGAATGGTGCAGGTCTGTCTGCGCATGCATCGGCACATGAATCGTTCCAATATACATCGCCGTGTGGAGAAGAGGAGAACGGAGGCAAGCCCAGCTAAAGCGATTAAGGCTTCCAAGGCACTCGAAAGTGGCTGCATCAATCACACGGCCTCAACTGGGGACTGCAGCGCAGCAACAGCAAGCACAGCATGCATCCACATCAGTACCTGAAACCCAAAGAACTGGACAAGTAGCTGTACCGGTCTCCCAAAGAGGCGATCATGTCGCGCACTATGCTTTCTGCACCTGAAGTGGTGGGAAGGTGATCAGAAATTGTCAGAATTTGGATGATGGCTGGGAGTCAATGTAGAGTGTTGCAACTCCGGAGTTCGGAAATCTTGGCGACGCCATGGCCCATGGTCGAAGAGACAGCAAGCCATCGAAATCAAAGACTCATGACACTCTGATGACACAGGATGACACAGCGAGAGTAAGTCGAAATAAAGCCATGGGCTATGGCACATTGCTTTTGGTAGCTGGTGAATTCCTTAACCTTGCGCCCACCGAACACATTCACTGTCAAACTCTACATTTGAAACCAATTTCAGGATTTGGGTTGTATTCAAGGATTAAAATCCCCTGCTGTCGCGGTGGATCTTCCTCAAGTTGTGGCGCGCCGGCATCTTTCCAATATCTGGCGTTATGCACGGCTCCTATGTGAATTCTGTGAGGCCCTCCAAGGAATATCCGCAGCAGACTGTGTCAACAAATCCAGGGCTGCGACCTCCCTAAGCCTCGGCATTATGCTTTCATGAATTGCAATACTTCGCTGCGCATGTTCTGGCTCTCTAAACTTTGGACAGCGCTTCGTTTTGCTGTGAATGTTGTCCCGCCGTCCTCACTGTGCTTGTGCGGGTCCGCATGTCAACGTGCTACGGCACCAAAGTTGTGAGATTCAGTGACCAAGAAGAGTAAAACCCCGCTGCAGCGCAGCACTGAGTGATGAACGCTGGCCCTTCTTCACTCGCTCCAGGTAACGTTGATGGGCAACTTCCCAATCTTGATGATTGAAGCTTTGGTCGAAGTAGTTTCCTTGGACCGTAGCTCCATAAACACTCCCTTGCTGTTACTGCTACAGGATAACTTGACCTTTTACCTGGCACACATTCCTGGTCAAGCATCGCTTCACAAAGCCCCAAGCTGCCTCGACGCTCTCCGTATCGGAGGCCTTTCCAGCGGCATGTGGAAGGCCGACATATTTCTGGCAGCTTTACAAGATAGGCATCGAGTCAAACAAGATCAACTCTCTTCTGGATTCTGGACCGTACCGGAGGAGGCGTATCTGTCTACACATTGGCCTCGCGTGCAAAAGCCGGGAGGAGAGGAGCAACAGAAAGCACCAATCCTGGCATGATCATACAAGTATGATCTTGCTTTCAAGCAGGCCTGGCATTTATTCTCATGGTGCTGCTTAACGTTGTTCCAGATGTTCCAACGGCTGCGCACCCACGGCTGTGGCCAACAGTGGCACCGCGATGTTTGGAAAACCTGCATGAACAAGTGTGAAGCACCATGTTGCATCGTCTAAGTGCACATGACCCAGCGAATCGAGTGCTGCACCAACAAGAACCAGTGTGATCAGAATCAAAAGGGGCCAACCTCCAGGCTCAGCAGGCTGCTCGACAGCCGCACGAACCGCCAAATGCGAACGCGGCAGCAAAGTTCCCCGACCAAGCCTGCCACAATGCCCAAACCGTGACAAAAAATGCACACGCAATCGCAATGGGACAATGGGATCATCGCAACCACATCTTAAACACGCCTTGCAACCAAGGAGCACAAACGGACGCGCGCCCACCCACGCCAAGAAGAGAACCAAGGCCAAGCCGACCAGGTTTCGGCACCGGCGTGCCCGGCTCATGTTCTTTGTGAGCGGCCGCTGTTCACGACGGCTCACTTCAAGACCATGGCATTGTTGAAAATCGCACGTCGAAGTAGTCACGCAGCAGTTCACTGTAATATCAGTATTGCTGACTAGTAGGGATTTGTGCCTGACACATAGTTCATTTTCACGGCTCAAAATCTCATAGTTTGTTGCATGTCTTACAGCATCTCTCTCTGAGCAATGCTCCATCGCAGAAACGATTGAATTCCGACCCTGCAACATCGTCAAACAAACATGCGATGAATGGCTTTTTACTGTTGGACCAAAAAAAGCCAAAATGATGAGGTGTTGAATGTTTATGCCAAAGATGCGAATTTCCCATGCCGTGCTCTTCAAAGATGTCTCAAGTTGATTTGCGCAAAGAGCATCTCACGGATCTCCTGTTACGCTTTGGTCTGACGCCATGGTTTTGCGAAGAGTCGCGGATCGCAACGTGCAGACTCGTGTGCAGTGTGTCGTATGTACCCCAAGTGGGGAACTGCAAGCTGTGCACCTCTTAGGCCGCGGCTTGCCTCCTGTACTGTGCACCTTGTGGACTTTTGGCTTCGGCGCTTGCTTCAAACAAAAAGCCATCATGCAAATGCACCTTTGCTTGCCCCCGTCGAACGGCAGATGCCGACAAAAAGGCAAACTCTGCAGAGCACTTGGAGCATTATGCATCCCCTGCCCGCCTCCGTCCGCCTGATCTTTCCGCCACGCGAGGAGTTCAGGACATTTGCGCTCCTGAGCAAGAACTTGCTCTTTGCTCGACCCTCAGGTCATGTCCGAACCATGCGTGTGGCGTTTGCGTAGCGGCATGCGTTGGCAACGCCGACTGGGGTTACAGCACCCGCGCCTCCGTGTAACCGAAAGCAGACCGTCAGTTTACCTTAAAAGAACGCCTTCGTCACTTCTGGTCTGACTGCCTGTGGTGCCCTCTTTAAAGCGCCGCCGTGTTATTCTGATGAACTTGAGCCAGTCCTTGCCGGCCTGCGAGCCTTCTTCCCGTTAAGTCAGATCAAACCTCGTCCGATCTCCTTGTTGGATGAGGGCCAGCCACTTCGCCTTCTCTTGTCTTGATCACACCAGTGATACGTGTTTGGCAGCGCCTAAACGAAGAAAACCCACGAGGCTTTTCCAAACCAGTTCCACAACACCTTCCAAATAACCCCGATTTAAGCCGAAGGTGGGGGAATGTTCAGGCGTTCGGAATTTAGAGTGTTTGTTTTCGGGATGTGGGTCTGAACTAGGGGTTGTGAGGTTTGGGGCCTGTTGGCATGGAGGGCTTTGGGTGCAGAGTTCAGGTGTTGAGAGTTTGGGCTCTCTCTCTCTCGCTCTTGTTCTCTTTTATGGGCGGTATGTCTTGTAGAAACGGAAGACGAGGAGGGATAGGTGTCGCGAGTACTCTTTTCAAGCTTTGAACGTTTGAGAGTTTGAAAGGAAGAACGAACATGATGAACGACACGGAGGTCGAAAGTTTGAAGTTCGAAGGTTTGAAGCGAGAGCGAGTTCGAAAGTTTGAAGCGGGTCCCTGAACGCAAGGCAAACACGGCAGGACCGGGCCTCGAGTTCGAAAGTTTCAGGGGGTTCTGGAGTTTGGGAGTTTCGGAGCTTGAGGGTTTGAACGTACGAGAGATTGAGAGTTTAACGCGTCTAGAAGGTTCGGAGCTTGAAGTTTGAAAACCATACGAGCTTGAAAGTTCGACGTCTGAAACTTTCAAATTTGACGACACTTGAACACGAAAAGATTGATACTTTGATAATTGTCGCGCTTCGCGCTTTGAAAGTTTGACAGCACGTTCAGACCACAGGACTGCCGCGAATGTCACACTGCACAAACAAAATTCAGTGAATCTTCTGAACTCTTACAAACCCTCGCAGTTGAACCCCCAACTCTCCTTCCACGCCCCGAGGGCGGCATCTGCAACCCTTGGGGTGCAAACGATTAAGGTCGTAGCTAAGGTGTAAGCATTTATGTAGGGTTCAGGGTTCGGGGTTTAGGATTTAGGGTCGGGGTACGTGGGACTTTCCCTTGTTAGGTTTCAAGAGCTATATAAGCCCCAAGGCCATGATTCGGGCTCTAAGTAATATAAATCTTGGGGCATTCTGGGTGATGGTGGTCACGTGCAAGGGCCGGTTTGTTGTTGATCAGGGTTTCTAAGAGCTGTTCAGTAAACCCGTCAACCTCTAAACCTACACTCCAAACCCTTCAACCCCTTAAGGCCTAAACCCAAGACTTTCTGCGTTTCAAGAAATTGACCTGGCTTGCCCAAGCCCTGCGCAAAAGATTCCTTCACATCATCATCACCCTCGACCACACCTACCCGAAAACCTAAACCCTAAACTCCATCCTGAATCCAAAAAAGCTCGCGAGTTCAGGCCTGAACCGCAAGACTTCTAACGAGGGCCCTTAACCCAGGGTTTCAGGTTCAGGATTTAAGGTTTAAGGGTTAAGGTTTCGGGTTTCGGGTAACATCCGAAACCTTGAGCACTGTTATCAACCCCACTTACCTCTTACCTCTGCCCCATCTCCCTGCCTCCTTCCCCTGACTACCTCTCTCTTACCCCGACTCGAAGAATGAAACACAAGAAACCAAAACAAGAAATGAGGGGGAGTAGAATTTAGAATGATGCTCTAAGAATGAAACACAAGAAATAACAAGAAACAAAGGGGGGTGGAATTTAGAACAATGTTTTCGACCATCACTTCTCCTACTCGAAGAATGAAACACAAGAAACGAAAACAAGAAAAACGAGGGGGGGTGGAATTTAGACTAATGCTCTCGGCCATTACTGACTCGAAGAACGAAACGCGAGCGGGTGTTAATGAGAATAATTCTCTCGAACACCACTTCTCCTGTGACTTCGATTCTCGAAGGATGAAACAGAAGAACAAAAGCAAGAAACGATAGGGGTGGAATTAGAATAATGCTCTCGGCCATCACTTTTCCTACTCGAAGAATGGAACACAAGAAACAAGAAAACAAGAAACGAGCACCGTTGAATTTGGAATGATTCTTTCGGCCATCACTTCTCCAAGAATGAAACACAAGAAAAAAGCAAGAAGAATACTTCTCTCGAACACCACTTTTCCTGTGACTTTCATTTTTGAAGAACAAAACAGCAAAACAAAAAACAAGAAGGTGGAATTTGGAGTGACTCTCTCGGTCATCACTTCTCCCACTAGTCCGACTCGAACAATGAAACAAAAGAACAAATAACAAACAAGGGCAATTTAGAAGAATTCTCTTAAGAATGAAACACAGGAAAAATAGAAATGAGGGGAGGTGGAATTTAGAATCATTCTCTCGAACACCACTGCTCTTCCGATGTCTGAAATAAATGAAAAACACAACATTCTTTATCAAAAACTTTGTTCTCCGGATGTTTGCGGGTTTTGAGCTCATGGGATAAGGGTGATTCACTTAATGCGAGTTCTAGGAGCTGTCTCTGGGCAGCGGAGACGCCCAGTTTTTGTTTACTAGGTTAGTTGTTGCTTACTGGAGTTTTAAGAGACATTGTTAGTCAGCATGAAGCGTAAGCCAACGGTCCACCAGAGTGCTGCATCATCTTAAAAAGTACTGCGTCCATGTGACATAAGTTAACGCCGTGCTGCAAATTCCAACACAGCTTTGCGCTTTTAGCCTTTGGGTTCTAACTTTACCAGAAGCTTATTACCGGACTGGGAGTTGCAGAGATTCGACAAGCTGCGCAAACAACTGCTGCCTTCTGCAGAATAAACGTGTGCCTTGTAGCAGTGCAGGACTCCAACTTGTTGGCAAAAACCGGGCACAAAATGGCAAACCACGTTGGAGCTGTCCAGGCAGAGTCCTTTCTCTGCTCTCTTGGAAGACTTCAGCAACTGTCTTCCCGCCCTTGAGCTTCCTTTTCAGTCTTTTTCTCGGAACCAAACAAGCGTTTCTCCATTCTTGCACCAATTATCTCAGCAGCAACAGACCCCAACAGCGTGGGATATCATCAGCCGGCGTGTAGTCGTTTTTGCAAACGGAATCGAAAAGGAAACCTCGCAAGATTGAAGCAATGTTCAGGTGTTGGACAGGCACATCTTTACGGCAAGAAAGCGGTGGCAAAAGCAAGCGCTACAAACTATAGGAACCAAAACTTGCTACGTGCGCACATACAGATATCTTTTTGCGCGCAAAGATTCCGCCGGCGATACAACCTCGGCTGTCCGTCGCGGTCTTGTGACACAACTGTGACATTTTCTGCGCGCACACGTGGATTTCACTCTGTTCGCACAAATATCGTATATATTCATATCAGAATGCTGCTGCATTCGGATCGAGCTGTCGCTAAGCCGCGCGCGCGCGCGCATTCAAATTGCCTGGCGTTGAAACGGGAGAGCCGGTATGTCGTCGAAAGGTCACCTTGATCTTCCAATAGTCTCTTAAAAATGAACGGCTATTCCGATAAAAGTACACACTTTTAAAAGGGCTTTAACATAAACGCTTATTGTATAAACATAAACGCTATTGTCTATAATTTAAAGTCTTGAGCCAAAGAAACCCGGAAAAGGGAAAACAGCAAAACTCGAAGTGCATAAGACTCTCCCAAAAGGATTCCCAAGCATGTCATCACTATGCATAAAAGCACTGCACTCGCTTCTTCTTTTTCTCACGTGGAGACTGTGGGAGTCGGTGCACACAAAGCCTCACCTTATACCTTGGGCAACCTGTGAAGCTGGGCACACGGGCCCCTTTGCAGCTGGCGGCAAAGACATAACACTGGGAAGCATGCACCAATCCCCTTGGGAGGCACAAGCTGATCCCCTCAAGCATTGCAAGAGTTTGCATCGTTAACAGTCAGAGCTCGGTGTATGGCAAACATGAGCGAACGCAAGGCACAAGCCGGTAGGCGCTCCAATGCTGGCAGCCATGAGCAACATCAAGAACCAGCAGGCGCTCCAATGTTGGTGAACATGAGCGAACGCAGGACATTCTGAGAAAGGCGCGCAGAGGCGAGCACGCGTGTGAAGC